CCCCAAAACCCCAAAACCCCAAAACCCCTTATGCTCACCATCTCATTGAGTATGAATTATTATCAAAAATTACAGCATTCAGCGAATTCAGGGTCATAATCCTCTTTAGCAAACCCTTTCTTGCTTAATATAAGCTGATTGGCAGCTTTGTTCTCTCAAGTGAGCCTCCTCTGAGGTTTCTGGGTGACAAATCGGACACTCTTCTTCTTTTCAACTTTTCTGTTCGTCTCCTTATTAAACACATTTTTAGAAGCTCCAAATTGTGTAAATCAAATGTTCAAGTCTTTAATTGCATTAGCTCAAGCATCCTCGTAGACATTGCTAAACCTAATTTGGGCTTGAGGAGTCTGGCTTGAGTCAAGCCCCTTAGAAGACTCATCGAAATATCCTCGATCACTGGCTAGTGAGAACTCGTCAAGATCGAGTCCCATTTCGATCTCTTTGGAAGAGTCTAAATGGTTGGGCTTTTGTTTCTTTGAAGACTGGTCAGACTTCACCGGAGTTCCAAATGGTGACCCTTCAAGTAAAGAAGTTTTATAGTTGGTGCTCACCTTGCCTAGCTTGGTCTCTAGTCGCTTGGGAATATCCTCGAGGTAGCTTTTCTTATACATCTCTATAGGGATGACTGATCGAAATTACTCCCTCTGCTGAGTCTTTTAGAATTCTTCTTGTTGCGAGGTAAAGTCATTTCAATACCCCTCTTGATCGAATTAGCTGTGGTAATCACCCGGTAGTCTTTTGATGCTGAGCTGAATCTGTTCCTTCCTCGTTCTTCAGAATCTATTGAATTGGCTTAAGTGCAATGACTTAGTGGTATATTTTTGAAAAATCACCAGGCATAAAATTCCTGTTTAAAATGCAATATTCTTTAAATATGACAAAAAGGGAGAGCTTTATAAAGATTTTTGCAGGAATAAATCAGTTTTATCGGTCATATACTTACTACAACTGAGAAAGTGCTTATAATGCAAATTCACTAAGTTTTTAAGTAAAAATCTTAAAATTTGATAAAATCTTCATGCAAGCTCAATCAAATATTATACCACAAAAATGTGCTAGCTTTGCTAAAGTTGGAGTAACATTATTGACAAATGAGTGTAGGATGTGCGAAATAAGCTGTCCTTTATTAACTTACCCAGTGTCTTCTCATTTGAATTAAAATTTAACCTCTTATCTAGCAGACTCTTGCGCCCACATGTTTTGGTCCTTAATTTCATCTAAGTTTCAATATTTTATTTGCTATGAGGGGTTTTGGGGTTTTGGGGTTTTGGGG